CTTCCGTCACACAGCCGCGGTGCCACGCTCACGGCCTCACAGTCTCTAGCTGATGTCTGTGTGTGCAGTGCAGTGTCACTTCCCAGCAGTGGTGGCAGCAGCCACAGGCCAAGGACCGAGAGGAGGAGGGGACAGGCAGGACAGCTCAGCTGTGTCACCTCGCAGGTGCACTCCTTCAGAACAGGCTGTTCTTACACTCTGCTCTGCTCGCAGCTGAAAGTTACCAGGACCAACCAAAACACGTGTTTTGACGAACATGGATGTTCATATCGCATCTCTCTCCTTTTTTATCTGATCACTTTCCTCCAGTGTTTTGCATTGGATTTGGGGGTATGTGAGATTGTCTTTTGCTTGCTCTGTCCTTCAAACTAAATACATATGATGACACATTGATTCTTGTCCCTAGGCCCTTCTTCACACTTTGGGAGTTAAATCAATTGGCTCTTTAATTTCATTGTTCCCAGAAGTGTGTTGAGTGCTTCAGCATTATTCATGGATTCAGGACATACATGCCATTGCAGGGTCTCCTTAGAGAGCACAGATGACACCATCACTTGTACAGACGAACAACTCTGCATCTGCACTTTTCTTCCAGCCTTTTCCCCCACATTTTTTGTGAGATGAGGGCTTGTCACAAAACCACTTCAAGCATGTGTGAGACACTTGATAATGTGGTAAATATACATCCTTTATCTTCCTTGACAGGGAAACTTTCTAAAATCTGGATAACACTTCAAAACCATGTAGGCCTTTTCCAACAAACAGTCTTTTTGTCTCTCACTCAGATAGGCTTCGATTTGCACTACAATAGTAATGTGGTGCATTAGAGTTTTAAGAAAAGTATCCATATCTATTTCCTGGTCTCCCTCACAAAATATAAATCACTGTTAACATTGCTATTACACAATGAAAGTAAGTCTGTTGAACTCAAGGTTACACTTAACCTATCTTGAAACTCATTATGTGTAAATATGACATAATATTAAATTAAAGGAGGGATTCACTAAAATGAACAGAAATGCTTAGGGAAGAGCTTAGGGTAAATGAATTGGTTCCTAAGACATAAGGAACCTCTTTCTTGAGGAGATCTTCTCTTTGGAAGTTGGCCTTCTCGCCAGGAAAAGCTTCTCACTCAGTAGCTTTCTGGTGGCATAATGTGGTCTCAGAAAGATCTTTCTAAAATGCATTGTTTAGTTCTCTGTCAGAATCTATAAGGTATTCAGAATCTTTCTCTTTTTCAGGGTTATCAGCTGATGAGGTGAATAACACTGATTGTGCCTCTGTATCTATATTGATCAACAGGTCTCTGATCACTGTCCCCTTGCATGTCTTTTATTTCTTTTCTCTTATAAAGCAGGTTAAGACCCAATCTCAGGACTGACATTCACTGGTGCAAATGTAACCAACTGATCGCTTTGTTGGAAATCCACCTAATACCAGACAAAAAGAGTAACTGTTTCTTCCTCTTGTTAAAACTTTTCTTCTTTACTCCCCTGGCACAGGGCTTAGGGATGTTTTGGTAGCTATTCCAGGGTTAATAGTCTTTCTGCCCAACCAGCCTCTATTAAATGTTGGCTCTAGAAGGCTTTTCCTTTGCCTATTAATCTCAGATCTGGTGAGGCCAGTAAGGCAGTGAGGTGTACATCTCTGTTTTTACAGTGCTAATGATAGACTTGTAAAGGCGGGGAAGGCAGTTACTGGGCTTTTGCTCTAACTCTGACTTTTTCCTGTGCATAGTTATACTTTGACGTGGTATTCTTGAACTTACAGATCAAAGAGAGTTACCAGAATGATCCACTTGTGAATTGTGGGCCATTATCTGTTATTAACTCATCTCGAGCACTGTGGTGAACAAACTGTAATTTACAGTATGTTATTACATTTCTGCTCACTGTGGTGTGCAGCAGCTGAATATGTGTGTGTGCTAGTCCATAACGAGTAGTAATATTTGCTGGCTAATTCAAATAAATCTTTGCCAACCTCTACTAAGGCTGATCAAGAATTTAATTTACTTCTAATAGTTTTGTTTTTCTGCTTCCTGCCCCTCCCACCACATTTAGGAGAGATTTCACCTTCTCCTTTTCTCTTCAGTACATGCTTGCTTCCAGGAAAACTTGGAAGCACAGCAACAACCTCCTCCAGTCCTCTGCCAGATTTCCTTCAGGATTTAATGATTCAGGTGGCTTCATTTGCTAAATTTTTTCCAAAAAAAGAAAGAAAGAAAAAAAAGTAGCTCTCCACTGACACCATATAATAAAGTTGAGCAAACAGGAGGGCTGGTAGGAGACTTATTTTTATTGCCTGGCCCTGGTCACATGACAGATCAGGTTACAAAATACTAATACCCCTGCCAACTCTCAGAATCCACCAATTCCTCTTGCTACTGTTTTAATCCAACCTGCCTTTTCTTATTTTTTCTTTTTTTTTTTTTCTTT